GAGTTAATTGAGGATTTAACTTGAGAGTGGAAAAAAGACACATTCATGTCTTTGCAATGATGAAACAGTCAAAATATAAAGGCAGCCCCGGTATTTACATGCCAGGTGTCCTTAATTAGGTTAATAATGGTACATAGTAATCAGGGCTCAGCACTATCAATCTATTGTTTTATCAACCAATGATTAATATAAAATACTCTGCTTTTATTAAAGAACTTGAGGAAATTAGAACACCACAAAACAACATAATTGAGTTTTAATACAACAAAAATATTTTTATTAACATTCTAATAAGTTCTGATATTGTTATTCTACTAAGCATCAAATGTATATTTAGTTTTTTCGTCTGAGCTTTCACAGCTATCAAGGTAGAAACTGGGCACAAAAGCTTTATATAGAAATGGTTCAAAGAAAAGCACCATCCATGGAGAAATCCATATTAGATCAATGTTGGAAAAACTCTTGAGTGATGATTTTGTGCAAATTTCTTTGTGAGAGTCTGTAGGAGATGAATGGAGTCTTTTTTTCCCCCTTGACGTAATAGCCACCTCAGTTAAATTAACGACGTTACCTAACTGTTTCTCCGCAACTTTATGGGGAGGAAAATAATTGTATAGTCGCCAGTTTGGTCATAATAACATATAATACGGCCACCATTAGCCGGGTTGTCTAGCAACCACTTATGGCAATTCAATCACAATTTTATTGGCAATTTCTTCAACCAGGCTGCATGTAGAACAAAAAAAACTTGGAATCAACAGAACAGGTCTGATAAAGTCGCTTTATATCAATATATCCTCTCACTGATCCACTGTTTTATAACACATCTTAAACACACACTCTCCAAAGTTTCATGAAATTCTTTTCTTCTCAATTGTGATCATCTCACCAATACACATTTCTGCCAGTATATTTATTTGTCATTTTTTCCTACCCCCATCCCCTTCCAACTTTGTACTATAAACCTCCATCTCTTTCCTACATGAGCCATTTCACGCTTTTTCACATGACATTTTCTTTAACTTGTTAGGTGGTCATCAAACAAGTTGTAACTAAAACTGGAACAATCACATGTTTGCATCTTTTTTCTATCATTATTGTTAGATACCTGGCCCTGAGTGGAGTTTCACAAATGGCCATAGGGAAAACATTACTTTAGTTTAGTTGAGGAAAATTTCTTTAATTTTTTTTATTTCCTTAACTCCAATAACGCCTCGCTGTGGAAATTTTTAGTAAACCAATGTTCATGAAGTTGTGGCGTAAAGTTTCCACTAAGTAAATGTGAAAATGAGTTGACTAAAATACTAAATCACTTTTCCGGTTTAATATTCAGCAGTTCATTGATTTCTTTTTTTATTTACAACTTGCTAAAAACTGTAAATCAGGCCAGTTTTACGTGTTGTGTGTGGTTCACACCAGGAAGGAGTAAAAGAATTCCCAAGTTTCATTTGTGACCTAAATATAGTGCTAGAATCAATATGAGGCAATCAGTGGTCAGAGAAGGCCTATCCCCAGTAAAGTGTCAGCTTTGATCCCCCTTAAATAAAACATTCATACTCCATCATGAGATGTCCATTACCCTTCGACAGTTGACCTGGCATGCAAGCCTGCACTAACAAAATCCCAGAGTGACAAACGGGGCTGTAACGCTACACTGTAACACTGCCATCAATAAACATTTCCTGACTATTCTGATTGCTATGAATAAATTTGTGCCTGGGTTCAATAAGATGGCTGACATGATTTGTGCATGTTTACGATTTCAAACTGATTTTAGTCCTTAAAAAAAGCATACCTGTTGTGACAACATATCCGGTCTCTTTTTTTTTGAAAAAACATCAACATTTATGTCGTTGTCTTGTCAAGTCAATGTAGTCTGCCGCCAGAACAACGATTAACATCCGTATTGTAACATTTAATGTCCATGAGGGACGTTCTTTAAGAAACCAGATAATGCCAAAGTCAAGGTCGCTGCCATTCATGATGTATGTTGTCAATAAATAGAAAAACAATACGGAAAAAGAAAATACGTGTAAAGCTTTCCATGAGGAAACTCCAAGGTGACCCACACAGCATAACCTGTCCCAGCAGGCTGCTTGTGGTCATCTTGTATTGTATAACAGTAAATTGTTTGCAAAATATACATGGATAGTGTTGATTCTTTCAAACATATTTTATTGACATCAAACAGTAAAATGGCTTTGGAAAAAGTTCTTACAACTTACTAGGCCCTCTCTATAATGTTGATCAATTTGATTTCCAATATGACAAGATATCAATCATTAAAAAAAACCTCATTCAACCCTGAAGAAACATTTAAACTCTTCCAATTCAAATGTTGGAATAATTTATTATGAAATTTCAGGGGTAAATGGGTGAAGTGCAAATTGAACACGAATAGAGGACCTGACCTGACATACATACCTTTTATGTCAGAAACATGACGATTCTAAGTAGACCTAAACGTTTCTGTGTTTTATAAACTCTTGTCATTTGTCCATCAAATATTGGCACTATAAAGGGGTTTGTCAGTACACTGAGAGAGACATATAAAAGAATTGTTAAGGAAAGGAAAAAAGGCACAATGGATAGTAAGGTGATCAAATATAATGAGGGGCAGTATATAGAGGTTTTACTGTAGCCCAAGTACCTAAATACAACAAAGACTTAATGGTGACAAAATTACTGTTCGAACCATATCTTCACTTAAAAATAGCATTTCAACCTTATGAGCACAATTTCATTTCATCATTTCTCTATCAAAAACAACTGCTACTACAAACAGTCTACCAACACCTTTAGTTTCCCAAAATGTCAACAAAAATCCAGTGACACCAGAGGATTTCGTAAGATTGTGAATCAATACCTGAAGCCACGTTGAAGTGATGACCATGAAACATAACGTTCAACTATTTTGTTATCTTATTATTTTCAACTAATTCAATAAGTGCTTCTAGAAGGCATCAAATTGTTTGCAAAAAATATATTACCTGTTGATGATTTTAACACTTAATTAAATCTTAATTATCTTTCCTATTGTGGATTTCTAGTTATGTAAGGTTGGCCTGTGTTTGTTTTTGGCTTTGAAATAATGCCTAAACAGCTCTTCCTGATCATTATGGTACTGAAGTCCGGGTGATAAATGAAAGAAAATATGCATGCAATATAAACGGATAATCCAACTGTATTTTGAAATTTGCGACAGTATATCAGTTTTATTGGCAACCCGGATCGCAGCTAGTAAAACGGATATTTACGACAGTATTATCACGATATATCAATTTCAAAATACAGTAGGGTTCTCTCCATTTTAATTCACCTAAGCTAAAAGCACCAAAAGAATCGCTAATCTTGAGCGGTTTCTTCAACTCTGGGTCACTCTGCCGTGGAATGGTGATGTCCGGATTATTGAAAGTGAGGCTGATTGACCTTTTGGCTTCATGGTATTGTTTGTGATGTCATGAATAATCAATTTCATGATGACTATCAGGGTCAGTCGGGATCATCGATGTCATCAACAATCGCCATCCGGACAATATATTGTGGTTATATCGTAACAAGTTATTTTGATTGACCAATCAAATGCTGTGTTACATCTCAAATGAATTAGAAATTTAATTTTATGCAGAATTCTTAAACCTGGGGAAAATATGATTTAGAAAAAAACAACACTTGTAACACTGCAGATGAAGATTTTTATCAAAACGAAGATAAACATTTTTCACATATAAACATTTGAATACATCTGGCAGGGAATGAAGGAGAGATAGCGTGTCTTGGCCGAGAGACAGATAATATCAAGTGACAAAAGTGTGTACATCACTTTTCTCTGTAAAACAAACCATGGAACTTTCCCCAAAAGCAAGGAGGCATTTCCTACAGCTAATAAATATTTGTTGCAGTGAAATAACAACATCTGGCGTTGTATCAGTTCATTAGAACTTCACCAATTATTTCCATTTGACATATCACTGTCAAAAATGCTTTGTTCTGATTGGTCATCTGGCAGCACCTGACCAGTTAATACAATTACACCATTACTCTCCTAGGGAATTATGCAGCAAACACTTTCAATGTTTTGTGCATTGTATCTGATGTCTTTTCCATTATGTCCACATGGACATTCAATATTGGTAACAGAATCAAATGTTTGAAAGCTTTGGCTAATTCTCAGCAAACATTACCAGTATTAGTCCTGAATCTCCATCTATTATTGAACTGGTCGTGTTGTACAAATTGTTTTTCGCTTATTCGGTTATAAATAATTTTTTGCTTGCCTGTTATATTTCTATTACAAAATTGAAAATTGCTTTGAAAATAATCATTCTTAACTGTAATGCAGAGTTGACTTTATTTAAAATTACAACTGCCTGATATCCTATTCTCTAATCTTTCAACTCCTTTCCTGGCTCAACATGTTTCTGTCATATTAAATGACACAGCTAATAAAGGTGACTAAACAATTGCTGTCCTTAAGGGGAAAGTTAAATGAAAATTTTTTAGTTCAGATGTTTCATGAAATGTTTGCTGTAAAGTACAAACTAGTTAAAAAACAAAATTAAGGGGAGGCTACTGTTTATACGAAAATTACATTGCAGTGGGACAGGGATCCTCAAAAAACCCAGGCTAATATAATACCCAGTTAATAGAAAAAGAGACTTAACCTTGTTACGGAGACAATGGCTCTGTAAGTCATCACATTCAATGGGTAGGCGTACTATCTCCCGAAGACCACGTAAATCCTTATAGTTCAGTAACACTACAATGTCCTTAGTGATGTATAATATATAACATGATTTTCCTCAGGTGTAACTTTGTTTTTCCGTTGCAGCTTGCCTTCGGGATAGCTATGATACCCAGTTAATAGAAATGAGACTTAACCTTGTTACGGAGACAATGGCTCTGTAAGTCATCACATTCAATGGGTAGGCGTACTATCCCCCGAAGACCACGTAAATAACATGATTTTCCTCAGGTGTAACTTTGTTTTTCCGTTGCAGCTTGCCTTCGGGATAGCTATGATGCTTCCTCTGGAGCGAAACATTCGGTTTGGTCTGCTGTGTGTGGCGTGTGTCCCAGGGGGCGGGCTCGGCCATGTCGCAGTCGTCGTTAGTCAGGCTGACCTTCCACTTAGCCTCGCTATGAACCTCATCAGCATCGTCGCCATGCTAGGTAAGATGTGCCATTCATCGCATCAGCATACTCATCCATGATGATGCTAGATAAAATATACCATCCAAACCATCCGCACACTAGGTAAATGTGTCATCAATCTCGTCAGCATTGTCGCCTTGTTTTTTTTTTATATAAAATACACCATCAATCTTGTCAATATTGTCAAAGTACACATCCACAGGTCCAAAAACTACCTTGAGACAGATAAAACATCATAGAAATACAAATTGAAACACATAGAATATAAACTAAGATAGGTCCAAATAAATACTTTGTGATAGATGTCACATTGTGTATATATCTAAATTGAAATACAAAGAATTAGTTGATATAGGTCCAAAAAGTTTTTGACATCAATGCAACAGCATAAATAATTGTACATGTATTGAAACACATTAATCAACAAAGGTCTTAAAAATGGGCAAGGTAGATATGAAATTGGACATAATTTGACTACGAGCCCATGCAAAAATGGTGTTTGTCTGCAAATACCAATTAACAGAAAATTGTTAAAAAACATAGATGATTGCTAGCTGTATCGTCTTTGTGAGAAGATACTGAGGTGAAATGAGACCCTGGGTGTTACTCTAACCACTCAATATCAACACATGTGCTAATTACGTTACAATTTCTGAAGAATTACCAACAATTAACAGAAGACGCTGATTCCCTCTCAAACACATGTTGGTTTTTAAGGAAAGTTATCTGTTGCCTTTATCATGCAAACAGTTTCACTCCACATCTTACATCTAACAAATTATTACACGCTGTTTTTTTCAAGACCTTTCAGGATGACTGAGCGTAAAAACGTCAAACCTACGTAATATTTCATTCACCCTAAGACGTAGAATACTATTTCTAAACATAAAATTCAGGAACTGATTTTACTTTGATTATTGACATCGTCATACATTGGAACATTGCAGCACTCTCCTAAGGATTTCAGGACAGTTAAGGCTCAGAAAGTTTAACTCAGGGTACAGATTTCTAAACACAATGTAAAATCTGCCAACAATTCGGTAACACTGGTTCTAGGGTAACTAAAGCATAGCTGCCACATAACGTTATTTACTATATAGAGACCAATTTATACTACGCTTATTATCAATTATTGGGGAATTGAGGTACCATCAGGGTATGTTGTTCCAGGTAAAATGTCCCTAAGTAAAGGTGTGTCACATAACACCCGGCATCTTTATTAGTTCAAATGTATTTTATATCAACTCCCCAAGATGCTCAAACCTCTCTGATACGGTAACAAACAATTCAATCATGTCTTCCTGCCAGCAGGTTTATAAAGATGGAAAGCAGACCTGACCAAGGCCCCGAGTCTTAGATTTCAGCCCCAAATTCATTTGTCCATAACATCAATACAATACTTGTGGTGACACTTAAAGCTATGTCTGATCTTAAAATTTAAGCATGCACTTAAATTTTGTATGTGAAAACAGGCTATACATAATTACAATGCTTCATGTATTCTTCACTTCCCTCTGCCTCTTTGACTTAAGATACTTACCATTGGTCTATCGCTCTGCCCCTATAACCAATTTACATTGATAGGCAATTAGGACTACATATTGGTTCAAACCCAAGACTCAGTAGTCCCTCATAAAGATACATTTCATACCTTTTATCATTCTCCAGGAATGAATAAATAAATGAAGACATGTTTTGTCCTGTTTGATAGGGTTGGGTAATATCTAATAAACAAATTATTTATCTCTTCACATCGTTAACGGTAGTTTAGTTAGATGAGTAATACACAGACTTCGGAGGCTGGGTGTACAAGCTTAAGATACACAGCTTCGGTTTGCAAAAGATCTGAGCTGGAGATCTGCACAATTAGAAATTGAATCGGTACATGCAGGTTCTCAGATGTGAACAATTCTGCATTTAGTGCAATAACAGCACGAAGCTATGTGGTTAGATCACAGAGAGAGAGTATCAACATCCACCGCCCACCTCCCTATCTCTGTCAGCATCTGTATCTCATGTTCACCATACATTACAAGCGTAATTGTGTTAGCAGCTTCGTCCTCCGACACCGATTACTTCCACCAATTGTTTATAGCAAAATGTATGTCACTATAGTAACTTTATCTGAGTTCTACGTTTGATGAAATTTATATTGCACTGCACATTGATATATAATAATTTGATATTACTATTTGTTATTCTTAGCTTTCAGGTTGAGACTGTGATTAGTTCTCAGTTTGAGACTGTGATTAGCTCTCAGTTTGAGACTGTGATTATGTCTTAGTAGAGATCTTATGCCAAGAAATGTCGCAGTAACCAGAAATCATCTCAAAACTATTTCCAGCATTTTCTTTATCAGTAGCTGGTATGGCACATTACCCACATGAATGCATGTTGTCTGTACTAATACATAATAGACCAATCTAAAACATACAGAAATCTGTGTCACCAATATGCTTACATTCTTTCAACTAATTAACACAAATATCTGTGTCATGATGCTTACATTATTTCTACACATACACAAATCTGTGTCAGTGTGATGCATATATTCTCTACTTTTGCATACAGAAATCTACGTCACAATGATGCTTATATTCTCTATTGAAACATAAAGAAATCTGTGTCACCATGGTGCTTATATCATCCAGTTATACATACTGAAAAGCTGTGTCACTATATGACACTAACAACTACCAACACATACAGAAACCTTTATATCATGTAACATTTTGATCTCCACGATTTATCAAAGCAGGATATAAGAATTGACCAGCAGCCCACACATGTCCATCATACTGCCCCAGACTTCAGGTCACAGAGGTCACCCTAGCAATAAACAGTGCCAGATGGGATTCATAAGAACTTCATCTAAAGGCAAACAAGCTACTAATATATACAGGTTAATTGTACCAGGTGATAACATTGATATAAAGATCACTGCCCTAACTGATAAAGACAAGTAGTATAGAAACCATACTCCACTTAATACAGCTAGGTCTAATGTCAACTGCTTAATATATTCAAAGGTGACCTAAATACAAAATCTACTCGTCAATGAGTTCACCCAATTTGTTCAATATCTTGATTACAAAATAATCCTTTTTTAAAATAAGAATAATTCCCAAATGTTCAAAGAAAAATCTGAACAATTTTTGTCAAGGGTAGTACAATATGAAGATTCTAGTTTTAATGTGTTATCCTAGGTCAGCAGGCAAATCTCTAGTGGAAAAGGAAATTAATTATTGCCTTCATTAATGAATAACATTCTATTTTTTTATTGTCTCAAGGTCACCATAAGGTATCAAGGTCACCAAAGTGTGCTGCCTCAACCCATTAGCTCTAGGTTTATTTGGTTCCTGATTTTCAGTGCTAAGATGGATCTGTTTATTTATATTGTACAACCCTCCTAGTGTACATTAGCCCACTGTTCGTCATTTAATACACATATTGCAAGCATTGCATATGTTTTATTTCATTACCTAATGGATTTTGCATCTCAGTGATTATAATATCATGTCTGGAAGTTAGATTTTAACACCTTGCCAAGATCAAGGTCGATGTTTGTATATTATAAAATTGTTTAGGTGCCATATTTTACCTAATAAAAACCCTAGGTGCAAATCGAGAAAATAAGAATAAATGCAAAACATTGAAAAATTCTCAAAATATAGCCATATCATATATCTCAAAATATAGCCATATCATATATCTCAAAATATAGCCATATCATATATCTCAAAATAGAGCCATATCATATATCTCAAAATATAGCCATATCATACATCTCAAAATATAGCCATATCATATATCTCAAAATATAGCCATATCATAGAAAAAAAATCATGTAATTATAGTGAAGAGATGATATGTTCAGACCAGAATAAAGGGGTAATGGGCTCTGATAGATGGTAGGGTACTTATTAGGTTGAATACAATATAGTGTTCAGTGTATCACCAATTGGGCATTCCTACACATCATCTGTAGGAGCACAGAATGTTTTATTTCATCATTCAGATGTGTTTGCCACACAGGGTATACAGCAATGGTATATTACAGTTTACTAGTTATTATATTTAGCCGAGATGCTCTGACATATGTACCACAGATTGCCAGCTCAACCTGCTGTATATCAGTGAAAAAAGGTTTTGCTTCGATCATACAGACAACATTCATTTTTTGTTCATTAACTTTTTTTCTGATATTTATAGATCATTGGAAGCTTAAATTGAATCCAGCTTTTTTGTTTTGAGCCAAATTTTACAAAATAATGAGGCTTTAAGTTAACTCAAACAAGACGAACAATATGTAGATGTATCTCAGGGGCGTAAAGTCCAGAAGTGAAATTAATTGAAGCCATAATTAATATCATTGATAACATTAATGATTTAATGATTAAGCAATCAGTAAATATGCTTTTTTACTGAACTAGATGTCAATTTATTATAACACATAATCAGCAGGCCAATTATTCTTTGAAGAGGATTGATACTTTTACCAAACTTACAAGTTTGGAAATATGTAGCATAAACTTTGAGTACATTTTCCTTTTTTCTCACATTCATATCCATTGTAATAACATTTTAACAACTTTAATAGCCTTGAGCTTAAACATTATTTCACCAAAAGCATGACGGTAAAACATTTCACCATGAATCGTGACATCGTAAAGCTAATAGGTTAACAGGGGTTTCCAGACGGTCATACAACGGCTACGTATTTCATGACAGTGTCCTATACAGCGCCATTGTTAACCTAGGATGTCTGTACGGGTGTTAGTTAGGGCAGGTAGACTGATTACCCAAAACATTAGGATGGGTATATAACATCCTCAGGGGAGATAATACAGCATTATTGTTTCCAACAGAACAGAACATTCCTAGATTTATAGCTATCCTGACAGATGTAAACCTACCATATTTTAACTAAAGAGAGCCCTTTCCCTTTTCCTGATCTTTTCACTGCTCCAAGGTCCTATCCTTTCAACTTATCATTTACTGATGCACTTGAATTTTTTTAATTATGATTTTGTTGATTGAGAATTGAATTTCAGAAGCTTCTTGCATTTTTTAATGTTCCCAAAACACTTTTAAGTGACCAGGGTCTTAATTAAGTTGAGTGTGGTAACGCATTGCCATCACTTTATGGCTTGGAACGAGACATTACTATACAATATACTGTACTTCTCTCCCCCTATGCTGTGGCTAGTGGAACTCTTCAGTGATGTTTTATGATGATCTCCTTCCTCCTTAAGTGATTCATTACCAACTGTAAGCATGGCATACACATGACATAACAGAATCTATTCTCATCAACTAATGAAAGTAACCAGCTCAGTCCGAGTCATGAGGCTGGTGTGGTTGACAATATCAAAACTCTTCTGCCAGTATACATCAGCATAGATATGGCTCCCGATGTTGGAAATAACTTGTGCTGATGCAAACAAGTTCTTAAAATAATTATTCTATTTCAGGGCAGCCCTTGATATAACTATTGTTCTTTTTGAGGTAAACGTATTATTGTAAGTATGTGATTCATCCACATATGTGCTTTACGAGAGTGCTCTAGAGTTGATTGGAGTTACAAGATTTTGTTTCTCACAAAAAAAACACCTTGTCAATACAGGCACACAGCTCTACTGTTGATATTTATGCTGGAGTTGATTGAAATGACAAGATTCTATTCCTCATAGAAAATGTCTTGTCACTGCAGGCACAGCCCCACTGTTGCTTTCTGTGCTGGAACAAACCTTTTGTACGTTGTTACCTATATATCTTACTTATAACAAGTACATTGACAAGATTGTGTTCTCATGAAAATATTTTTTGTCATTGCAGGTACAGCTCCATTGTGGATATTTGTGTTAGGACAATATTTTCAACAGAAAGGTAGCTCCAAGGTCATCCCTATCTACAATTTTGAGATTTGGCTGGCTTCTACCTTCTTTGCCTACACGGCAGGACTTGTGATAAATCGCTTCAAACCTGGCATGGCGGACGCCCTACTGACCTGGATCATAAAGCCATTCCTTCTACTTGCAACGATATTATATATTACTTTAGGAGTGTATATAAATATGTACGTGTTCGATGATATAGAGATGTATGCTGTGTTAGCGGCACTTCTACTTCCAATATCAGGTTTTGCCATAACCTTTGGTCTTTCAAAAGTGTTTCGCCAAAAACCAAACTTTTGTCAATCTGCAGCGCTAGAAACTTCCAGTTTCAATTGTCTAATAGTGCTAGCTGCAATACGGTTTACACTTCCGAAACCTGATGCCGATTTAGCGTCAGAAATACCCATGTGGATCATGTTCACAATTCCTGGGATGTATGTGATTCTCTCTATAATTCGAGTGATAAAAAATTTCATTTCAAATTTTCTGGAAAGTCGGAAACAGCAACAATTCCGTCATTTTAGCATCGCATCAGGAATTGTAAATCAGGCCAACATGGCTGCCTTATCAGCACCGCTATTTGTGACGGAGGTAACAGACGACGAGCAAGGCTCTGTGAGTGAGAAAATCACTGTGTTATAGCATATAAAATATATTAGAGAGCTGCAGAAATTAATTCGTGATAATATGTCAGCTTGAATGAAATTAAACTCACTGTTTAATATTATAATACATATATGTCTATATATATACATGGGTGTTATGAAAACATATTAATTATAATTTATTTCAATTCCAGAAATAGACGTTGCCATGACCATATTTGGAATAACTTGCTCACAAGTAAAAAAAATCCCTTTCATTTGTATGGTCTAATTATGTTTTTTTTATTATCATCAGTATCCGAGTTAATAAAGGGAAAGTTTCTCCTAATATTCCAACGACTTTCCATGTGTGTACAACACAAAGTATTTGTTATACCTGTTTCAAGCTTCCCAAAGACAATGATCATGATCTCATGTATAACGCTCGTTACTTGTGTCATACCGGCCAATAAAGAAATGAAAAAGGATTTAATATTACTCCTCAAGAGCCTTGAATTCCTTTCACTTGATTTCATGTAATTGTACTTAAACAACAGAGTATAATTCATTTTTTCTGATCTTTTGGTCCTTAATTTTTGTTATATAAACAAATTTGAGTTCTAGATTGAGCAAATGGAAAGCATATCTTTTCCCAACAGCCTATAATTTGAAATAAACCTTACAATTAAGTGATTGTTGAATTATTAAAATAATTTCTCTGAATTGTTTGTATGTAACTTGCATGTGTGTTCCATAAAAAAGGAACAAAGGGCCTGTAGACACATTATATAATGGACATGTATATTAAATATGTAGATTCACTATAAATTTGCAAACCACAAGGAGTTATCAAAATGCAAGTAATTTAAGTGTTACCTCCTTAGCTTGTAGTTGTATTTATTCATCATATATATTTTTCATCTATCTTTTTTAACATGTTGGAACAAAACAACCACTACACTACACCACCAGAAAGATTTCATCAGCAATATTAGAAATATAGCGATCAAATAAAAAGAAGAAGGAATAGCAATAACAAAAAAAATAACGGTAATTATAATACATTGTATATTGAATAAAATATAATGACAGCAGTGATTGGCCTCTGAGACAGGGTACAGAATGTTGAGATATGGAATAAATTAAAATAATAACAATGAAATGAAAAATAATTTGAAATTGAAAAATTAAAAGTAATTCAACACTAAATTGAATAAAATATTTATCAAATTTGACATAACTTTTCAATTTATCTTAAAGTGTATCTTACCCTCTCTATTATTTACATCTTATGAGATTGGAAAGGCAGGTAATTTGCTGTATTTATCCAGCAATAAGGCCATGCCTGGTAATAGCCCCACACACATATTGCAGTTCAGTAGAAATGCCAACAAATGATACCTATCATTGTCCTGTAATAAGCTAACCCCTACTAACCCCCTACTTTGAGCCAGAGATTATGTATTGGTCCCATAGGCATATTGATAGATATGGCAAAATGAAAAATAGATATAATATTTTCGATAGTAGGTATAACAAGACAGATCATACTGTAATTTTCATGTGAAGATTAAATAAATTGAGATATACAGCTGTAGTAGTAACCAATCTAGATTAAAATAAAGATTATATAATGTACTATATTAATATCATATATATATATATACATATAATAGGTTAGTAATAGAATAAAGATTATCACATCCCATCTGTAGGTGACCCCATCAAGTACTGATACACATCACGTGACATGTTTAGTCCCACATGTGGCTGGCCGTCTACTTTCGTTTTCAGCAGGTCAGTTCTTGTTTAGAACATTTTATGAAAGCATACATAAGATTTAAGAGAGATGTAAGAAAAGGCTATGTGATATGTGTTGATGTGACACTAGTGCTGACATAATGTTGACAGTCTGTAACCTTTTAAATATAAGTTAATGTACTCAAGATAACCTCAATGTAGTTTCCAAACACTGAGACATTCCCATCTCCAGAAACAGTCCATACAGTAGTACTAACCTCTCTTGACTATCAAGTCTGTGAAATATACATTCAGACATTAAGTTGTCTTTTCTGACATTTCGCTAGATGTTAGCCCGACTTATGAAATCTCATTCAGACATTAACTTGTTTGATTTAACATTACAAAAGGACATTAGTTTGTCTATTCTGACATAAGGTAACACTCAGATCATTTGAAATTGTTAAAAGGTGTTAATTATTTAGGAATAACTCAAGTTACAGACTTTATTGAATGGTAGCAACTTTCCTTTGAATTATGATATGTAAAATAGCATATATTCTTAAACAATTAATTTGAAATTGCTTTAGGATTTAAATCCCTGTAATGGAAAATTTGGCAGGCAATCTACAAAAACATCTTTATACAAGAACTCACTAGTACTTTACACCATTCCAGAAAAAAGTATTAAAACAAAACAGGTTTAAAATGAGCACTCTTATTGTCAACTTTTTTAAGTCAGCAGTCTGTGTCTCCAGGCACAGAATTTGTCTCATTAACATCAGACTTTGTAATTCTGTTTTAGGATGGCCAAAGTGAACTCTCTTGTTCCCACAGTTTCCTAACGGTATTTTATAAATATTTCTGTAATCGTTAAGTATCACGATATACCCATAATGCACCTCTTTTCCCAGGAACATGGGAAGCCAAGAATCAATAAGTATATTTGTGCAGGCATGGTGAACGATGGCAGGTTGCTGATGTTGTCGTTGTAATTAACAGTACATACAGGCAAAGCTTTTTCTTAAGGACTCTGTATAATGATGTAATTTCTAAAAAATCAATATCTGCGATACATTGTAATCAATTTGGGTATTGCCTCTCGTCGGCCTTATCTATACTACTACCACAGGCAGGCAACATGTCCTTTACATGCCGGGAACGATCTATCACTGCCGACAACTATCGCCACAAACACAGTAGACACTAACACCTAATACCAAACAACCATCGTCTCTGATAGCATTCCAAATAGCATTTTTTTTTTTTTTTAAATCTGTTCGTTTTCATCAGCCTCGTTCCGTTTTCCAATTTTGCAGATAAATTTTATTATCAGAACACTTCCGTAAATATTGTAAGGAGAGTCTGAAGCATTCTCACAAAACCTCAATCAATCTGGCATCCGCTTTCACAATCGACTTCAAAATGACTGTTACTGTGAAGATGGATTTTGTTATCCATTGGAGAAAAAATATACAACAGAGAGAATGAAAATTGATTTTTGTCATCATGTGCTCTTTACTCCGGTCTGAAAAACTGCAATTTCTCAAATGATAAATTTCAAATAGAATTTTCAAAATTGTATCTTTGAACATTTGGACATGACATCAAACCTTAACATATGATAAAAGCCGAGGAGAATTACTGAAAGTGGGCTGCATAGGGTCCCTTTCTCCTTAACAAAACTACCAATATTAAATTGAAGTATTTTCAAAAATAATGTTTTACCATTTCAACTAATTTATGTAAGTAATACTTTTTCCAACATACAAACATTCACTATACTACAATGGCTGCTTAGTATGGTATGAGCTATACATTGACAACAGTTCGGTTTCCTTGACAACAGGGTACAATTTACTACTGTTTTCCTAGAAAGGTACCAGCTCCACTCCTATACCTTGATAAGACTCCCAGGCAGGTATAGGTGTACGGAAATTTGTAACCAGGATGTCACCACTCAGGGACATCAATGAAAACAAATTCATCTTCATGTTTCATGCAAGTTTTGTTGTTGGTTTGAGAAAAAAGGTACACTTTCATATACATCTTTTTTTCAATTTAAACTCCCTAGCATTTGTCACAAGATGTACATATAATAAATAAAAATAAACTTCCCCTTTACCCACAGTTTTAATGTCAATGATAAACGATACATTCTAGTTACAGTATGATAACATGTGTACAGACTGTCATGGTTAACCGTATTCAAGGCATCTGATTGGTCAAAGGCAAACTACAAACAACACTGACTTTGCACAATGAAATAGATACGCACAACGAACATACCTGTTTAACATATAATTTTTTTCATAATACAGATTTATTTTGACATTTTTTGTCCACCTGTATCTTCAAACTAAAGGAATTATATTGCTGGAAGTTGAGAAAAAGCACAATGTCATTGTAGATGGAGGTTCCAATAAAATAATTATACCTATCTACATGTATTGATAATTTTTTAAAAGGTTATAAAAGACATTTGAAGTCATTATAAATTTTGAAAACTAACCAACATGAATGAAATAAACATGATAATCAAACATAAGTTGTTGGGGAATCTTCTTCTTGAGGAATATCATTTATTCTTTAAACATTGTTTTCTTCTTACTAGCTATAATAAATATACGTGTCTATTTTCTGATTTGTGTAATTTTATATTTCATATTACAAAATTATTTTACTCATTCATACTGAACTAAGTTTCTTGGATTTCATAAAGTGTAATTGTCTCCCTTGTCTGAGTTCTTCTTATTGCAGCTGTATAATGTCATAGTGATTCCTTTGTATAAGAGTTGTCTACCTCCATCCCAGGTTAAACACTTATAACTTTTGTCTAGTGTTTCCTGGATAGTGTCAGGTATCACTGGTAACATTTCCCAAACAGTCATAATGGTGTAACGAGCAGACGGTCATAATCTCATTTCCACCAACAGGAAAAATAGCTCTGTCCCTTCCAGACTAGACAATCTGACACTTCAGGAATATCTCATGATCATAGTATCTCCAAATTTTGATGAGGTTGCATTTTTCTAGGATTCTGTCCTGTTTATGAACTGTTCTAATATAATATACAATATTTGATATAGCACCCTATCTAGCGAACAAAAGCCACTCTAAAGTGCTTTACAGTACATAAATATACAATTAATACATTTATGATATATAGTGTACAATTTTTGAGGAATTCGCAGGAGCTGCCTTATCAGGCCACCTGGCTAATATCTCCCTATGTATGTATATATACATATTTACTGGGTATATACGTCAATATACATATATATTTAAAATTGTAACTATCACTGTATGAAAAGTTTATGTATTGCTATGTCTTCAGAATGCCGTTTAAATGACAAAGATAAAAACTAAGTAGACCCTTTATGGCCTTTAATACATTTCTATCGTCCTGAAAATTTATAGACACCCATATCTTAAGAGGATAAACATATTTAAAAGAGAGGAAAAGTCGGATCGACAACTTAAACATATGAACTTTGACTTACATATCTATATTCATAATTCTACTCTTCTGTTTGTAAAAGTATGTTTTAATGAAGTTTTGTTATATAAAATGTAAAGCATGAATTTATTTTAAAGTTACCTCCTCAAACTTAAGCTCTATAAAAGTTTGAGATTTTGAGTTGGAAGTCAGTACCTTTTGTTGCATTCCATTTTTAACTGTGAAACCTGTCTAGTCTGACCTCCGAGTATTCAGACACCCTGTTCAATTTATCATAATGTTGTAATCTGATTTCTTATGTAAACCATCAAATAAAACTTGTATATTCTGTCATCCTCTCTACTCTGATCATTATGTTATATGTCCTTCAAGGTGTCAGATTAGACAGGTTTCACTGTAGTAGAGAAGTTTATGGAGTGCAATATGTGTCAATCATTGTACTACATATATAATATATAATTATATACAATGTTTATATACATTAGTTATGTATATTACTTAGATGTATATGATATAATCAATCTATAGCAACTATCGAAGGTGAACATATTTACAATTGTAATACAGGTGTATATCTGAATGTCTGTAAGAGAAAACACTGGTCAGTTCAAAAGGAATCTTTCTAGGGGAGCATTAAGGTAGTGAGTTCCAGCATTCTATGTTGTATCTATCTCCAACAGAGAAGGGCTATACATTGTTTGCCATTTTTTCTGACTTTGAGTTGCTTGCTCATTTACTACAGCAAACAGTTATAAATGAAAGAAATTTATTAAAATTTCCTTGGTCTCCAAAATCTTTCTGCCATTCTTGAGATTGAATCCCTAGACCTCTTTATTATAAAGCAGGGAGCTTTTACACTAATAGTCCTATAATAAGCCTGCCCCATATTTGAACCAGAGATAATGTGTTGGCTCCTGGGCTTATCATTGCAGCATAAATACTGTTAGTATATCCTTTGAGTTCATCAACTGTTGAGACTGAATGTACATCACAAAAGATTCTTAAAAGTTAAATGTCTTGTGTATCCTTTACTCATATACTGGATTAAAGATAATACCAGCTTTCCTCAGTATCAAACACAAAGTTTGACTTCTCGCTGTTGTAAGATGTGATGACCTAGCACAGCATTATAATGTCAAACCAACGATCATGATAATAGCTCCTTGGCTAAAGTGATTAAGTAGGTTCAGTACTTATGGTATACACATGTGTGACACAGGATAAAATGTAATTATATAAATGACACTGAAATAGACAAGTATATTCGATAAAGTAGGAGTTGAGAAACACATTAGTCTCGGATGAAATGTTTATTTTATTGGGAACTAGAAATGGTCGTTTTAGCCAGGGTGTCGGGATATTGTACTATATAACAACTAGAGTGAGCATATTGTTGTTGTTGATTGTTAATGATATGCTCAGTACTTTTTGAGAAATAATTAAATATATAATATTATATAAATTTATGAAGAGACAAACAAATTGTTACTT